ACCGGAGCCGGCGGTCCAGGCAGCTTCCGCTCGCAGTCTCTGTCCCGCTGTAATGTGACCTCTTCGGCCACCTGCTCTTCGGCCTCTTCGCTCGGCCTGGGCCTAGCCTACCGCCGGGCGCCGGCGTCCGACGGGCTGGACCTGAGCCAGGCGGCGGCGCGCACCAACGAGTACAAGATCATCCGCACCAACGAGAAGGAGCAGCTGCAGGGCCTCAACGACCGCTTCGCCGTGTTCATCGAGAAGGTGCACCAGCTGGAGACGCAGAACCGTGCGCTCGAGGCCGAGCTGGCCGCGCTGCGGCAGCGCCACGCCGAGCCGTCGCGCGTCGGCGAGCTCTTCCAGCGCGAGCTGCGCGACCTGCGCGCGCAGCTGGAAGAGGCGAGCTCCGCGCGCGCGCAGGCCCTGCTGGAGCGCGACGGGCTAGCAGAGGAGGGTCTGCGGGCGCGCTGCGAGGAGGAGAGCCGTGGCCGCGAAGGCGCCGAGCGCGCCCTGAAGGCGCAACAGCGCGACGTGGACGGCGCCACGCTGGCCCGCCTGGACCTGGAAAAGAAAGTAGAGTCGCTGCTGGACGAGCTGGCCTTCGTGCGCCAAGTGCACGACGAGGAGGTGGCTGAGCTGCTGGCCACTCTGCAAGCATCGTCGCAGGCCGCGGCCGAGGTGGACGTGGCTGTAGCTAAGCCAGACCTGAGTTCGGCGCTGAGAGAGATCCGCGCCCAGTATGAATCCCTGGCCGCTAAGAACCTGCAGTCAGCCGAGGAATGGTACAAGTCCAAGTTTGCCAACCTGAACGAGCAGGCGGCGCGCAGCACTGAAGCCATCCGGGCCAGCCGCGAGGAGATCCACGAGTACCGGCGCCAGCTGCAGGCACGCACCATCGAGATCGAAGGCCTGCGTGGGGCCAACGAGTCCTTGGAGAGGCAGATTCTGGAACTGGAAGAAAAAAAAATGCTGAGGTGGCTGGCTACCAGGTAAGGCCCCATGGGGGGAGGGGGAGCTCCTGTCTTCTCCCGCACTCTGCGCTCTCTGGCACAATGGGGGCCCTTAGGGAGCGAGGATGGGGAGGGGGGGAAAGGAGGGGAGAGAGCCCAAGTGGAGGTGTTGGCAAACAAAAAACCCTGGAGTCCACTCTTCATTTTGGAAGCCCCCTTTCCTAACCCCTCATTTACGTTTCTGTCCGAGCCCTTCCAACAAAGAAGCCCTTGAACTTCTCTGGAGTCCAAAATTCTATGTCTCTGTCAGAGACTGGGCATTCACACACTGGCGGCCCAGAAAACAGTTCTCCACTCAAAGTAGGAGGTGGGTCACAGCCTCCCCATGTTCAGGGGCGCCGTCTTAGTTTTATGGCTTGTCTGTGTGACTGTGAAAGGCTTTCTGTGCGCCCTGGAATTGACATCTATGGAATGTAGTATAGTCTTCCTCGGGGTTGGAGGAAGAACGTTGCACTGAATCGGGAAAGGTCCTATCCTATATCCTTGACTTTTGTACACAAAGGAGATTGGGCGGCAACAGCTGGGTGATGACTGAGCTAGTGACAACCGCCCTGCTCTACCCACCCCCAGCACACGGTTCCCTTGTCAAGCCAGACACACACACACACACACACACACACACACACACACATACACATGCTCCCTTGGCCAGCGAAGCTTTACACAGGTTAGTCAAACGGGAATGGTCGGGCGCTGTCCGTGGTGCTGATATCGAGTTCCTCCCATCTCAGAAATGATCTCTCCTGTCTGTTGTCCCAAACATGAATCTCAAGGCAATTAACTGCGTTGGTTTTCTTTTTCTTTGTCAAAATCAACACATCGTTCTTGGCTACCTGCAATCAAAGGTCACCTCGTGGACAGCATTAATTTTCACTTTCACGGACGGCTTAGCACTTAACAAAAACCAATTAATCTGCTCAGCAGCTGTGAGGTCCCATTTGAAAATGCTTGTTTCCTTCACATTTTTCCACTCTAAGTGCATGTGCTAAATCGCAGAAATGGGTTCTTTGTTACGGGCTGCCTTTTTCCATGGTGTCCTGTCCTCTAAGCTCCTGTGAAGGTATCGATTGCTTCTTTCTTCCTTTTCTCTCCCAACAAAGGCCACTGCACTTTGCTTTTACTATACAGGATGTTCTGGGCTTATCCTACACAGGCAAAAGAGGCAGGAAGCAGGGTGGATGAAAAGTGCAGAAAAGAATCAAAATAGTGTGCTTCAGTTTCAAGGTACAATAAAATCCCACTGAAGAGAAGCTAATAAACCAAAAGCTTGCAGTTATTCATTCTAGCCAGCATTGAAGTTTACATTTGATCAAATTAAAAGGGTTTGTGAACATTAATAAAATGCAACCAGGGAAGGAACATCTTAGAAGTACTATATCTCCCTTTGATAAAGGAAGAAAGCCTGCTTGGGCCATCGTGTTGGTTAGTTTGGAATTACAATATTGTTTAAATAAATATTTCTATTCTGCTTCAAAATTTGTAACTCAAACTTTTCATTATTTGGTGTAACCCCCAAATGACCTCAGTTAATCATGTCTAATGAATTGAGATTTTCTTAGTGTTTTTTTCCAGAAGCCTCCAAGCATAGCTGGGTGGTCTTTTGAAGGGCTAGTCCAGCGTTGCTACAAAAAGGCAAATTACCCAGAATTGACATTGAATTGGGCTTTACCGTCCTTTACTTGCTTGTTAGAGCCCCTGCATGGGGCTGGTGGTGACAGTGTGGTCTGAATTGTTCTGTCTGAAGGAAACGGCTTCCAACATTAGACAATAGCAGGTCATCCAGGTACAGGCTGCAGGAAACAGAAAACGACAGAAACTGCGGCATCTGCAGCTCTGCAGTGCTGCCCCCACCAGCTTTAGCCTTCAGAGCCTCAGTGGACTTGCTGATGGGAGTGGAGGAGGAGGTCAGGCGACAGAGCGCTACTGCCCTCTGAGACCTAAGGCTGGGGTGGGGCTCGCAGCCTGACCTGCCATCTCGAAGGCTTGAAACCACCGGAGTGTCCTCTGACTTTTCTCTAACAATCTTAGTGCTGTCCAGGGTGAACAGCTTCCTTCTCCACAGTGAGGTTCAGCCATTGTTTTCTTTCACGCACTCCCACCTCCCCACCCCTGCCTTTGATTGCAGTAATGGCAGGCTGTTCTCTTCTGTTTCAGAGATTAATGGTAGGTCTATTTTCCTATGCAGCCTTGGCACCCTCTCAGAGACACAGGAAGGCCCTATTAAAGTCACGTTTTCCCTGTCCCAGAAAGCTGATAGCCTATTTGAAGAGAGAAAGCTTATTACACTGTTGAAAAGGTAAAGAATGATTCAAGGTGACATTAGTACACAGTAGTGTATGAGAAAGTCTGAATCAGGGAAGAGGAAAGTGAAGGCTGACACAGGGCAGTCCTGGTCCCCGATAGCCACTCCACCATGAGCGCCAGTTCTGCTAAAGAAGTCTCAGGACATTCTTAGAGGCTCCTGGAGGTGTCAGGCCTGTCTCGTGGTCGGTCTTGGAAAGCCGAAGCTTTCCTTGAAAGACCTTGCTGAACAATCACGATCACGGCCGGTTAATGCTCTCCAGGGAGACGAGCCAAGTCTGCCCTCTTCGCTTCAATGCGAGATTTGAGTACAGCCTAATTAATAGCAGGAAGGGTCTGGCCCCTTGGGAGACTGGGGGTGGCAGTGGCTGCATATAAATGGATTGCTTGGTAGATCCATTTCTGAAATGAGTATTCAAGAAAAAAAGCTACATTTGACTTTTATTTTTATTTATTTATTTATTTATTGCCACAGGGCACGTATGAGAGAGAGAAAGGAGAGGGAGCTCCTCCCAATAGGGTGTGGTCATGCTGCAATCCTTTCTCCTCCACTCTTCCATTTCAGCAAAAAATCTAGGCTCACATGCACATATACTGCACATGTTTTTTGTTTGTTTGTTTGTTTTTTGGAGAGGTTTTCACTACAGGTCACATGCGCTCACCAGAAAGAGAGAGACAGAGAGACAGAAAGCGAGAAATCACCCCCCAGCGGGGATGGCCACGCCACAATCCCTTTGCCTCCATTCTCCTCTCGGGATCTTGGGCATGCACACGCACGCGCCCGGCGTGAGTTTAAGCCACCGGGTCTGAGACTTGAACTGCGGTCACCTACATGGGAGTCCAGTGACATAGCCATTACGCTAATTGCTGGTCCCCTGCACATGTTTTTCAAGCCACTGGGGCTGCGACTCAACTGAGAATCACCCACATGGGATCTGGCTCCCTAAGCACCTTCGTCAACCCCTGAGCCACAGGGTAGCCTGGACTTTCTTTTTTACAGCTCTTCTGGCTTTTGTTTCATTCGCCCCTCTCTGTCTCACTGTATTACTGTGAGCGGGGCCACAGTGAAGCTCCTTTGCACAAATAAATTTAAACTAGTGGTTCCTAAGCTCAGCAACACACCATGGAGACTTGGGAAAAAAAAAAAAAAAAAACATTGGGCCAGTCACGTGAGGTAATGGTTAAAGCAGCTGGATCTCACATGGCCAACTGTACAGTTCAAATGTCAGACCCAGCTGCTTGAAAAACACACCCGACGCTTGTGTGTGCCCCAAAATCCCGAGAGGAGAATGGAGAAGAGATCGCAGTGTGTTCATCTCCCCTAGGGCGTGCATTCTCACTCTCCCCGCATCTCTGTCCTAGGTGAGCACATGTACTGTACAGGAAATTTAAAAAGAAAAGTTATCAGGCCCACTCCAAAAGCCGTGGATTCAGTCCGTTGCAGGTGGGGCCCAGGAACATGCGTTTTCAAAATAAAGCACTGCATCCTATTGGTCCTGGGGCTAGTTTTGGAGTTCCTGACCTAAACCACATTTCCCAGTAAAGCCGCTTATACAGATACCAACACATATGTGGCAAGATTTAGAGTGCAGAGAAATACAGGCGTGAGATTATGGCACTCACAGTCCTGGGGGGAAAGGGGGACTGTATTCAATAAAAAGAAAAAAAAAATCGCCTCTGCACTTTGATCGTGCAGAGCAGCGGTTCTTGATGGCCGCTTTCCGTTAGGCTGTGACGCTGTGACTACAGCTGGTCTGGCTGAGGGCTCCCCAAAAGTGCCGAAATCCCAAGCACAGACGTCGCTCCCATACAGTTATATCCAGTTCTCTTTGGCTCTCAACCCACATCCTTCCCGCTCCCGGTAGAAGCTCCGCTCCTGTTCTCGCTGCTCCAGGAGAGGCCTCTGCTGGGGGTGCAGCCGGGCCCTGCGGCTGAGCCGGCAGCAGCTGCGCCGAGGGGGAGGGGCCGACTGCAGCTCCGCTCGGATTCGGAGCTGGAGGCCATCTTTGGCAGGGCTTTTGAAGGGCAGTGGAAGATGCGGCTCAGCTGGCGTGGAGAGGAGAGCGCAAACAAAGGGACTAGACGTTGAGAAGCAATCAATGGTCAGCAGTCAACACGTTCCTCCTGAAAGGAGCGACCTGGTGCGTTTGGTCTACTCTAGTCCATAAAGAAACATGTGAGATGTGAAATTTAGGAATTCAAGGAAATCTCATCTAACTGGAACTCAGCTCCCCCATCACCCTCATATGCAGAAAGCAGCTGTGAAACAAAAATGGTTGTTTCAAAAACGGATCTACTTAGCCTGCCGCTGAGACACAAAGCATCCATGTCTAAAACACGCACACCCCTGATGCCCCCAGCCTAGTCGCTCCGAAATGCTTTGGTACTTAAGAGTCAGGCACGGTGGAGAACGCGGCGATCAGTTTGTCTGGCAGGGCAGAGAAAATCATCGGCAGCAACAGTGATTCCAACAGCCGGGCTATACCTCAGCTGAGCTAAAGGGTAAAGACATCACAGAATTGTAGCAAAATAATTGCTCATGATCATGACCTTTGATTACTAAGAAAGGTTGTATTAAGATGAATGTCCTAATTGTGGGTGGTGTAAACAACATTAGAAAAGTGTCATTCAAAATTGTTATTTTGGGGCCCAGCCCACCCTCCCCAGCTTAATGGTTA